TATATATATATATATATATATATATATATATATATATATATATGAATATATATTTTACATCATAATATAAATTTATACTTGATATAAATTTATATTATAATTTAAATAAAATTTTAATTTACTAGTTCTTTCCCTGAAAATTCTTTGCTGCACATTATGCGCGTTATCTGCCTAGCTAGCCTGTATAGCTTATGACAATCGTTTCTTCTTTTGTTTCAGGTAACGGAGGAAGAGTTCTTGAATTATTACTGTGCTATCAGCGCGAGCATAGATCACGACGCGTACTTCGACTTGATGATGCGTAACGCTTACAAATTGTGAATCTCGACCGGCGGTTACACTTCGACAACATAACGTCTCCTATTCTGCGTCCTTCCGTTCGACGATAACCGTCGCGGCTACACCAAACTAATGTATAAATTAATTTCATCATTATTACATTGTCTCGAGCCAGTGTGCCTTGCTTATTGTTAAACTCGCACGTAGTGATTGCTGATCGCTAGTCTAAAAGCAAGTCTAAAAGCAAACGTAAGCTATTCTTGATAATCGTAAGTCGTCCAGCTGATTTCGATAATCGAAATTAATAGCAGATATACATATATCTCTGTATACATATACGATTCTATTAATCGTAATTCATCGCAACGCGCATCCTCGACGAAGGGGAAGAGGTCGGCCTCGGGAGAAAAATTTATTTGTTGCCTTATTGTCATTCCCTGCCACAGATTCTAGTGTCAGGCAGCTCGGAAGATGAGTCTATTTCTGGAGAGTAGTTCGGCGAACTCGCGAATCGAATCAAAGCGCAGCCGACTCTACGCCGTCTCTCTCCCCTTCGGCGCTCCAATTAATTGTCGATAATGACAGAAGTTGGTTGTAGGGTCCAATTTTATATAGCGCGAGTGTATAACACGCATATATACGCTATACCACTGCACAGACACCGTGCATTCTCGTGCTTTAAACGTTTTTCTGTAAGACCGTGCGTTTGCTTCTGCGCAAATAAACAGTCGCGGTTAGACGTACTGAACTGCCGACCGCAAAAATTACTTCGACACACGTGTACATGATTATTGTTCCGTTTTTTCCTGATAAACGATGCGTCACGCCCCAGATGACACACAAAACTCGCGTATCTCGTTGTCCTTTGTGTGCTCTGACTTTTCCATTGGTCGAACGACGCTATCTGTAAAATGTATTCTATTGTTACGTAATTGTTTAAAATGTACAACACATTGGTATTGTGCAAAAGGAAAAAGATGAACCACCACAATCTATTTCTCGGAAAACATAATGATAAAAACTGCACGTAGTTCCTAGTAACGATATAGTGATTAATGCAATCAATGCTTTCTCCTTCTTTCTCGTAAAGGAAATGCTTCCGTTCGTAAACTGAGTCAGTTTCAGTTGAGGCTATAAAAAACTATCCAATCAAAGAGAAAAATACTAAAGATACATTTGAATTTGACATATAGACGGACATTAATAACACTCGGACAAGCTTGACGTTCAATCGAGGAATAAACGGTGACGTCGACACTCCGAAATTTTACGGCTCCAATTGCAGCGAAATGAGCCTCTCCATTAATAAAAGAGCTGCACGCGACGGAAGTGAAAAATTTATCGCACTCTCTCCTCGTCATTAGAAAAATTTTTATTTTTGCGCAAAATCGAAAGTTGTATATGACTGTCAAAGCGTTTCGCTTGCAACCGATGCCTTTTGGCGAGAGCACTAATAAAGAGCTATTACACAACGAGCCTTTCTACGTGCTACCGGTATCGATAATGATAAATAATTGAAACCTAGTGCAGCGTAATTAAAGATCAATCGCTGCAATAAAGTACGGTGTCGTGGAGTCGTACTGTGCACTTTTACAGGGATTGTAAGATTTATAAGGATTCCTACAAATATGACATCGTACTCAGCAGGAATCGAAGATATCGTAGCTCCAAATTAATTGAGATGAATTAATTTTGCGCTAGTTAAATGTGAGGAATTTACAAGGAAACTAGTCAAACTTGACACTCTTAGCAACAAATTCTACTGTGAGACTTGTGGAATTGGCTAACGTATAATCATGTAAAATTCATCAGTTGCAAAAAATGGTAGCAATAATTAATGAAAAAAAGCAAAAATTAGTGAAAAAAAAGTTGCATCGGCCGGGAATCGAACCCGGGCCGCCCGCGTGGCAGGCGAGCATTCTACCACTGAACCACCGATGCTCGACATAGAGCATTCTTTTAAACACTTAAGAATTAGTAGCATGGACTAAATTTCACATTCTAAATTACATAAATTCATGTTTATATATCTCACACATGTTATGTTAAAATGCCTTCCAATTACGATTTTAGATACGTCCGCAAATCTACCATATCATCGTTGATTCTCAAATTGTCGTTTATCTTACTTTACATAAGTACTATTAATCGTAAAATAAGATGTACAAAGTGATTTATACGTGGAAAATAAAAATGCAATAAGTAACAAATGTTAAAATTACAATTGTCAATTTGCAAAAGAAGAAAAAAAAAGATACCCTCCCCGGCGGGGAATCGAACCCCGGTCTCCCGCGTGACAGGCGGGGATACTAACCACTATACTACCGAGGATACCTGATAGAGGTGTTCTAAAAACAGCTCATTACAATCGGACATGACTAATTCGCATTCAAATTAATTGCGCATAGAAAATTAAACAGGCTTCCTTTCAAGTCCACAGATTATTTTAACGTGATTAGTGTGAAATATGGTACACATACTATGTCTTAACGTAACACAGCCAAGCTAAAAGTGCTCCACTTCCGATGCGACCTTTCTTACCGGTTGAGCCTGTTTTACGCGCGAGTTTGAGCGCGGCACGGCCGAGAGATGGCGCGCGGCGCATGCGTATAAAAAGGACGCACGCGTCGAGCGCTCTCAGTTCGCGCGCGTCATTGCTTTTGTGATTTTCTTCTATTTCCTCGACCCACCCCTTCCCTGCCTCGCTTTACTTGTTTTCAGCTGAATCCGTGACGTGTTTGCGATCCGTCTCGAGGAACTCGTTGACAAACAACGCGCCGGGCCAGGTCAAAACACGCACTGTCTCTTGTGCGACGTATATGTGGTGCTTACGTTGGCGTGACGCATAGAAACCGTAGTGCTACGGAACAACGAGTCTGCGATACCACTGTCATCGTTTACCTCGGGAGCGCAGTGTAGAACATCCGAGATGAAGCACACCACGTTCACTGCCGTAGTGTTACTCCTTGGTGAGTTCTCGGCGCCAATTGTTCACTCGTTGTCGTCGTTGTCATAGCTTCTCACGGGTTCCGTTCATCTCGTTGCGAAACCGGTGGTAGAACTATGTAAAAAATAGACGAAGAAATGGAAACAAATTTCCTATCTATATACAATCATGTGTAACGGTTTGTTGTGCAACGAGTCGAGTTATCACGTGATTGTATAGGAAACTTCTATTTCTTTGCTGTCATTTTAACGTAGTCCCACCACGGAATTTCTGTCGCAATGTGCCAAGCCAGATTAGGCATCACGAGTTGGAGATTACGATTTAACGAGTTGACTGACTTTTTGATCTGAATTTTTTTTATTCCGATCGTTCGAGTTTCAATGTTTAAACACTGTATAGCCCTTAATCTCCAATATCTAGTCTGACACAACCTCCACGCGTAACAAATAACACTGACGGTCGATTGTAAAGACCAATCTATCTTACATGTTAGATACATGACTGTTTTTATGATTACTCTTCTTGTTAACATACTAATTGCTTGGACTAGAATGACAAAAAATCGGAATATTCCAGAATAGCGATTCGAACGTCGAAGATCTGCGATAGAGAGCGACCGTGCCTGCAATTTATAATAATCGCTGTAATCGAGTAATCATGGCTGTAATCGATGGTAATTTTGTAATGCAACGATACGCGTATATGATTAATAATAATAATAATAATGGTCAAGTAACCTTTGCCTGCACAGAGAGAATTCTGTGGCAAAAATAATATTTTGTAAATAAATCGACATTTTGTCGTAGCTGACTATCCTTTTATCTCACGTATGCTACTTATATTTTGGAAACTAAAATGTGCTATTTCGAAGATTTGCTATATTTCTCATGAAATTTGCTATGTTCTCTAGCTAGATGGGCAACATTTCTGCGTTACAAAAAAACAATAAAACTGAAAAGAATTCATATGAAAAAAAACTATATCTCCGTGTGTGGCTAAACATTCAGAGAAAAAGACATAGTAATGGCAATTATGTAACAACTGTGTAAATTTTGCATGTAGAATCAGTGTATGTAGTTTAATAAATCATTTTATAGAGTATATTACAGTTGCAGTTGCAACAATAGTTTATTAAATTATATACATTGATTTCATAGAAAATACGATTGTCACTTGTATGGCTGCCACTGTCGTGTATTTTGTCTGAGTGCCAACATCAACTACGTGTTCGTGCGGTTCTCTTCAGCTCGCAAAGTACTTTCCCTTACGTGTACTTTACAGAAGTTATTCGATTCGAGTGCGATTCACGTTGCACGTATACGCTGAGAAGAAAATACTTGAACATTTACTTGTGGCATATAAACTCCACTCGTAGAAATAAACTTTATGTCCCGCAAATAAGTTTTCAAGTATTTTCTTCTCAATGTAATTGAGCGGCAAAAATACGATTAGAAATCGCTCATCGAGTCGGATAAAACGTTGAATATTTGGACTTAAACGCTTGGCAAAACACTATGCGGATGTGACAACGTCGAGAACATTGTTTACATTACTGCGTAATGGATTACGTATCAGAAGTCAAACATTACATTCATATTGAGTCTATAAATATGATAAAACGTATTCGACGAGAAATTAATGAATCCTCCCTTTTGTCTCAGATTCAACTTGAAAATTTAATTAAATTCGACTGTATTAATAATCACGTTATAGACAGACACATATACAGGCTTGATAATTACACACTGCCGATTCATCAATAAAAATATTTCATAAGTGTCTTGTCACAAGTCCGCAAGTCGAGATTCGCAAACGTCCTCGAAGTTGTCCTCGAACGTGGGACGTGGAAGTCCGAGGTTCTATAAGTTATTATCGAGGTATTCGAACGGGATTACCTTTGTAACTTGTTTTTGCGATAAGACACTCGTTGTTATTGGACGTTTTAACGATTATAACGCATCACATCATTAATGCGATGACGCAGATAACTATACGGATCACATGTGTGATTTTCAGTCTGGAGCAATTATTGCGTTCGCTGCAACGATCTGACTATCAAAATCGCTGACATCGAATTTAATTAAATTTTCAAGTTGAATCTGAGACAAAAGGGAGGATTCATTAATTTCTCGTCGAATACGTTTTATCATATTTATAGACTCAATATGAATGTAATGTTTGACTTCTGATACGTAATCCATTACGCAGCAATGTAAACAATGTTCTCGGCGTTGTCACATCCGCATAGTGTTTTGCCAAGCGTTTAAGTCCAAGTATTCAACGTTTTATCCGACTCGATGAGCGATTTCTAATCGTATTTTTGCCGCTCAATTACATTGAGAAGAAAATACTTGAAAACTTATTTGCGGGACATAAAGTTTATTTCTACGAGTGGAGTTTACATGCCACAAGTAAATGTTCAAGTATTTTCTTCTCAGCGTATACGTGCAACGTGAATCGCACTCGAATCGAATAACTTCTGTAAAGTACACGTAAGGGAAAGTACTTTGCGAGCTGAAGAGAACCGCACGAACACGTAGTTGATGTTGGTCAATTGCACTCAGACAAAATACACGACAGTGGCAGCCATACAAGTGACAACCGTATTTTCTATGAAATCAATGTATATGCTCTGATTCCTTTTTAGAACTGATTGATCACGATATCGCGTTGTGAGCGGCTATCTTACTTAATGAGAGACCAACTCGAATGTGAAGAGGAAATTGGTCGTCTTTGATCATCGAATCTTCGTATCGGTCCGCGCTCGATAACACGCTCGATCGTTGATCGGCGAGTTACTAATACAGTCATACAGCGCATCGCTCGCACTTTGCCCCGCAATTATGCATTTAAATGTGTCCTCGCGAGCTTTATTGCCAGTGCCAATCGGTGACTCTATAATCAAGAGAAAGAGATACTTGAAAATTTAATGTCGCAGAAATTAACTTCACAGAAAGGAACGTTATTTCATTGAGATCAACTTTATATTCCACAAATTTTCAGGTATTTTCTTCTCAGTATATTGTTAGAGTGAGAAAAGTGTTTGAATATTTATTCGTGGGATATAAAGTTTATATACAGAAATAAACTTTATTTCATAAACTTTACATTTCACAAATAAATTTTCTAATATTTCTTCTCAGTGTATACACACTGAAAAATAATTCAAGTGAACGTTCCTTGTTTCAAGCATTTCATAATTGTATATCTGCAAATCTATCATAAGAGTTCATCATAAGCATCAAATTATGAAAGCATGAAAATATATTCTGGATCCTAGTAAATTAGCACTTCAATCAGAAATAACAAAATTAAAACAACAATTTGGTTTGCTTACTACATAGAATCGAACCACAACTTTTCCTTCGATAAAGTTTTACAATATATTCTTACATAAAGAGAATAGATTATTTTTCTAAGTATACAATAATGAGCTTTTTCAAAATTTATCAAGAGCATATTTTTATGACTACTGATCAAGACAATTATTATGAGAATATTCTGTATTGAAGATAATCATTGCTTGAAAGAAAGAAAGTAAACTGAGTAATCGTTTTCTCAGCGGTGGAGTGATATTTTTGCGCGTCTACCGTGCTAAAAATCGCGCCGTAGAAACAATTGGTCCCGTCTCATGATAAAAGGAAGAAAAGAGCAGAAAATAAAGGCACGATGTCTCGTCGTCGAGATATTCTCGCGCACAATAATAGATGCAAAATAATAATTTATGCAAAAGAATAATTTATGCAAAATAACCGTCAAGGAATACGGAAAGAAAAGTGTCCGAGGTCGGCATTTCGTGACTGTGTGGCGTTTGACACAACGCGTGTCGGCAGATAGAAAAGCAACAAAAGAAAAATTGAGATAAAACGCGATTGCTGACGCGGAGTACAAAGTCCCGGTCGATTAGGAATATGATTTATTTTTACGCGAAGGAGGGAATGACGGCTGGCTCGCGGTCAACTCGCGAATAAGAGATTTTTTCGATCTGAGACGAGCACATGGTCGAGATGTGCGACACGATCTTCGATTTTCAATGTCAAGGTAATGTTGCAACGAGGAGTCCAGAGGTAAACATTCCGATTACTTTATTGCAACTGGAGATAACGAGTAATTATGACAGTTCAGCTCGGATTCTTACCAAGCGAATTAATGCGTGATTAACTGCAAAACTGAACATTACTGCCACTGATATTATTTATGTAACGTAAAACACGTTGAATGATATGTTACGTAACATAGAACAACTTTTGCTCCTATACTACTATATCGCAGTGATTTCCATTTGAGATTTGAAACAAAACTCGAAGATCGAGTGCTATATAATTTCGGTGACGAAAAAGTTGCAAGAAATTATAATTTTTAACGGAATTCCAATAATCATTTCACAATTGTCCACAGCATTATTATAATGACTCAAACCGTCATGATTCATCCTTTACAAATACTGTCGCAATACAAATACTGTCGCAATACAAATATTCTCTCTTATACAAATGTGAATGACATGAATGGGCGTCAGCGAGAATCTTAACACAGTCTAGATACTTATGAGTCATTGAGGATCCCGCATTCCACTATCAGCAAAACACTTCCTCATGCCCGAGCGATTGACAATTCGGGAATACATCTGGGAGTTTCGAACGGGCACGAGACGAAAACACTAATGAAAGCATCAAATACACAATGTTCGGTCGATCGATTATAACTGGCAAGAAAGAAAATTTATCTTCTGCCAGAAAATTATTGTCGCAAAACAAATTCTTCTATTAGACGTAGTGAAATTTATTGTAAAAAGTGCTACGATCTTTCTGCACGCTGATTGTTTCCATTTCACGCATAAATTTTCACCGACTACGTTGATGAGAAGAAAAAAACTGAAATTACTTCCAGAATAGAGCAAACGACACTCTCTTTTTATGCGAGACAGAAATGACACGATAGCACTGCGCGTGCAAAACGATGTAACAGTATTAATTACGCTTAAGTGAGGCTAAAGCATAGCAGAAAAAATGAAAGAAAACATTAATCGTTCTCGTAGTTGTGGCGATACATGTGCAGTTTCGAGATAAGTCTCGATAAAATATGCGGCTTTATCGTAATCCACGGAACATACGTTTGATAAAAATACCGATAAAAATACGAGTCATCATTGCGCGAACGTTGACTAACAAGCGAATGCATTTGAATTGCATTTCATGTTATTGAGGTGATAACATAAGACATAAGTAGCGGGCAATTTTTACTGTGTAACTACCGACAATGTAAATTAATTACTATCCATTTCCCTTTTTCAAACAATGATTACAGTCCGTAAACTCCTCGTTTTTTCTTTCACAGGTTTTCTCGGGCACACGCATTCGCAAGAATTCGGGGAAAACCTCTCTGTACCCGACGAGAAACTCCGCGAAATGATACCGGAGCTGGCTAATGTAGACACATCAGCACTGCCCAGTGTGGAGGAGGCGAAAAATCTCTTTAAGGAGAAGTGTACAAGAAACGGCGGAGCAGACGCATTCGACAACGTACATGATGCCCAGGTGAAGGTGGAACAGTGCCTTAAGTCGCTCATCAACGTTACGGAACTCCAGGCAGAAATGGAGCTTCACAAGCCGAACGGCGATCTAGATCTTGTGTTCAAGAAGTATTGCAACAAGCGCTCGATTCTGCGCGCCTGCGTGAGCAACTTCACTGAAGTGCTGGAGCAATGCCTGGATGAAAAGGAGAGAGAGAATAAGAAAATCGTCATGAATATCACTGACTCGATGTTGGAGTTTATTTGTTTCAAGGAAGGAGATCGTATCGCCCGTATGTAAATTAAATTAATCGGCTTAGACATTGACCTTCACTCTGAACTTTTTTATCGATAAAAGTGTCTCGAAGCGTGACATATAAACACATTTAGAGCCACTTTTTTTTAGAATAATAACCATTTTTTTAGAGATACGAGAGTGAGATAGTGAGAGAGAGACCTTTGAGAATACTTAAGAATATCCAAAAATGATTCTGGAAAGTCTCTCAGACGTCTTTTCGAGTTTCGTAATGTTGTAGTAGTTGAAATTATGTTATTTTTGTAGTCTTCATAGCTGCTGGAGGACCGGAATGCTTCCAAGCCAAACAACAGGCTGTTCAAGACTGCGCCAATAAAACTTTAAGTGGCTATATACCGAAAAGTGATCCCTCCGGCCTGATAGGACTCGAGAGTCTGCCGAGATTGAACTTTGAAAGCAAAGAATGCACGTGAGTTATGCGAGAAACAATTTTGATAATTATGCAATGACTTTTACGTTATCGTTGCGAGATAAGGCAGACCATCGATGAAAAATATTGTATCGCGTACAAGAGAACTGCGTTTATTAGTTTGTACAAAATAAAGTCTCATGTCTGCTTTCGCGTGTCGCACAGGGACATGAACAATCTGCAGGCTTGCGTGGTGAAGGAACTGGAAACTTGCACGGACCCGACGCCTGCGAACATCGTGGATTCTATATTCAATTTCGTCAAGAAGGTAACACCGTGCGAGAACATACTAAACGCGCAGAGCGCCGCTGCCACCGCCGATGGAACGTCCGGTGCTCCTCGTGTGTCAGGCGCTTTTACCGTTGCACTAGTAATTTTATCTGCTATAGTGAGCTGTAGTAAGCAAAATTTCTTTGGTATGATAGCGTAAGACATTAAAATGCATGTCGAAATAGCCTTAAATCATTATCAAAACAGAGATTGGGATCGTATTAAGATTGTAAATCGAAGATTGATACTCGACCAATTAGGACAAGGCTGAAGACTGGTTGAATATCGAGTCGAAATATCAATCAAGTGCCAATATTCAATCGCGCGGTAGCAAACACGCGGCCCGAAATGTTCTTATTAATGTCTGTGACTACTAATGCTCTCTACGATTTTTTTCTGAAACACCAATCTGCAACAATTATTTCATCTTTATCATTAATTTTTTCTTCAAGAACAATTGCCAATCTTAGTACAGATTGCAATTGCAATATGTTGTATGATCTTCAATTGGCAATTATAACATGATCTTAATCGTGCCAGTCATTTCAGAGAGGAAATTTTAGAGTATATGACAGTGAATCAAAAGTTTATAATGAGCGATTCGTATAAGTCACTATAAAAAGTGTTATATTTCTAACAAGATAACATATTGTTTCTTTTAGATATATTGTTTTAAACATATTGTTTGCTCTTCATATCAACCAAAATCTTAATTTGAACTTCTTCTTCTGTGAATTTATACTTTATTACTATATTTACATGAAAGTAATATGAGAATTAATGAGAACTAGAATTAGAATAAATAAATTAAAATATATATTTTCAAATTATAGTACAGTTTACTGAATGATTCTATACAGATATATCAATTTTTTCTTTTAATTTAATATGGAGAATAAAATTAATTTTATTCTTCAGTAAAGGTTATATAGTTTATTGTTTTAAAATATATATTTTCTCTATTGATGTGTAATATATGTAGGTATATTATATTTATATATGTGTATATATACAGGGTGTCTCATAATTGTAACACACCAACTCTATAGGGGCATACAGCTAAACGAGAGAACAATCAGAAAAGTCCTTCCATTTTGCGATAACGCGTCTAGTTTATTAGTAACAACCGCGTAAAGTTTGGCGTATGTCACACCCATCGCGGCCTATAGATGCTCCGCGACGAGCTGTGTGCGTCGAGGCAGAGCGGTAACGCGGCGCGTTCATCGTCCCCTCACCGCAGGTCGGCAGCGTTAAAGCGTCAAAACGCCATCACGACGGTCATCAACGCACACAGCGTCTATAGGCCACGATGGGCGTGACAAACGCCAAACTTTACAGGTTGTTACTAATAAACTAGACGCGTTATCGCAAAATAGACTTTTCTAATCCTCTCGCTTAGCTGTACGTTCCTATGGAATTGGTGTGTTACAATTATGAGACACCTTGTATATATATATTATATATATATACAATATTATATATATATATATATATAT